TGCAGATAGAGAAAACTACCTAAGAAGCCTGAAAGAGGTACAGCAGAGGAAATGAAGTGATATAATGCCAGGATAGTGTCATGGTAATTAGTGGCTGAGGAAATCATAGGTAGTGTGACACAAAGTTGTCAGGTGGTGCTTACTGTATAGCTGAGATAGAAGAGTGGATGGTGAAATACATTGGATTAATGGTTTTCTAAACAAACTCTCTTCATTACTGCTTTACTGTGTTTAGGAAATGTGACTAATATTGCAGACGGGGCCATGGCTCCACACTAGAGCTAACAGATGTGAAGAAGGAAGCAGTATTTCTACTTTTTTTTTCTTTTTTTTTTTTTAATTTCAAGCAAGAAGGAGAGCTTCATGCAGATGGAAAAACTTAGTGAGGGGGAAGAAAGTATGTGTGGGAGATGCCCCAGAGAGCAGACTACTTCTGGACAAAAGTAAGGAATTGGCAAACAGTAGAGAGCATTAAATAGTAAAGGATTTAAAGAGCAAGTGATGTATTTTTGTACCTCTGACTTAGTTATGAAATAACTAAACAGCATGCATTTTTCTGCTTTTCTCATTTAGCTTATGATACATGTCCGTGGGGTAGTTAATTGACCCCTGTGAAAGACAGACCTTGTCACTGCTTGTGGAAAAATCTTCTCAAGTTCAGGAACTGGTAGCACAACTTCCTGGAGGGAAAAAAAAAAAGAAAAAAAAAAAAAGTAGAATTTAGTACATTAGTATAGTAGAAAATCTGTTCTCTCTACAGAAAATTCCTGTCTGTTTTTGTAGGACTAGTGCATGTGTTCTGGATGATGCATTGGGAACAACGACGGAGTTCTTCATTCTTTCTTCATCTGCACAAGAAAAGCAGTCCTTTAGGTTCTTGATCCTCAGGAAACCTTTTTCTGATGACCTTTCTAGTTCTCATAGTTGGAAGATTCTATAGTTGGGGAAATACGCAAATATATCTGAGAGAATTTTGATGGAAAAAGCAGGGCTGCAGCTCTTAATTGCCAAAACAGTGATATTAATGCCAATAGGAGGAAGTTATGAGTTTTTTCAAGTGTGTATATACAAACTTTTACTGCTCCTGGTCACATGGTAAGGACAGGCCTCAGAGGAAACCTGGTCTTTGTGTGGTAGTGAGAGGTGAATGTACCTTCACAGTACTAAAGAAAATAAGAAACAATGTTCAGCTTCATTCATTTTTTTTCCCCCATGTAAAGTTGAAAGGCACAAGACAACCTTTGGTTACAGCAGCTGCTAAAATTCATCACCAAATCCTGTGTTGAGATGAAACTTTTGTCTATGTAAAACAGATATGAAATGTCTTCAGTTTATTTTGTTAATGAAATCTGTAAAGTACCACCTTTCTAAAAAGTGCAGTAAAATACAAGTCAATGCCTAAATCTTGCACTGGAGAATTCTAAAGGCAAGATCTCAGCAGCTACTATCGTATCACATTTGTAAGTAATGCCAAAATAGTTCCTGGCACCAGAGAGAGAATTTAGCTCATTACCGAACCACTCCCTGCTCAGGGTTTCTGAGGTAGGTAGTTCTGTACATGTTCAATGACTAATAATGAAATATCAATCACTTTAAGTATATTAAATAGTGAAAAGCTTCTAGGGAGAAGAGTACTGCTGCAGAGGGTGAGGTTGCAACAGTTGAGAGAATTGTCCCATTTATGAGCTAGCTCTCTAAAACCAAAAAACCTCTTGCAATTTCTGTTGTGGTAGTCACGATTTTATGAGGCGAATAGGTATTTTGGGGAATGTACCTTAAGTTTTTTAAAAATTAGACCTTAATCTACTCAGAGATTCTAATTAGCACTACTTAGTAGTGAGTTGTAACCGTTAGTGATAATATTATTTAGTCTCAAAAAGTATTCTTAAATGCAATGGGAAACACTTACTGCGTAGATTGCATCAAAAATTGCATTAAAAATATTGCCAATTCCATTTCTAGACGCAAATTCCCGTCTGACTCTTTGAGAATGATGGGCTGAGTAGGCTGCAGGGATCTTGTCCAAAATCATAGAAGTAATTTGAAACTGAACAGGTATCTTTAGATACTAAAAAATTCTGTCCCTTGGATTTGATAGCTTACATGGATTCATGCAGATATTTGAGTCTTCTAACAGATTTTAAAGGGTGGGTTTATGTAATATCATGCAGGTATTGCTAAGTCTGTCTTGGTAATGGTTTCTTTCAAAGAACAAAAAAGTCATCTTGTTCCATCTGCCAGATAGAAAATAATCAGCCAAAAATAAACAAAGTCCAAAGACTTTTTCCTGTGCAATTCCTTTCTTTTTTCCTGCGAGCCTGATCTTTTTTTTTCCCCTCAAACAATGTTTTGTTGGTATCAGTTTTATTAGAAAAATCCAGAGCTGCACATAGAAAGCAGTTTTGAGGGAATATATTCACCCGTGTAGCAGTGTTTTGACACCACTGGAAGATGCAGTATGGGAAGGGTCAAAGCATGCTCTTCATTAAACTGAATTCCACTTAATGCTGGATTTTACTGCAGAGGCAAGTGCATGTGACACTGACACAGACCATAAGCTGCCATATTTATGAAATCATAACAGAATGGGCATTACTATGAGGGAGGAAGGGAAGGCTTTTTCCCTCCCACTCAGCTGTCATCTTGGCAGAAAGTATTAAAGAATTTCTGCTTCTGCTTGTTCTGCAAATAAATATGGGACTTCAGGCTACGGAGCAGTGAATTTGCTCAGATTGTGATTCCCAGACTCAAAAAGGATTAACCAATACCAAGAGTAGCAAAAATCTTTTCATATAGTGGCAACTACAGTTAGTTTTTCAGAGCTGCAGAAAATGCACTGTGGTGTGTGTAAATTAATACAAATAGCCTTCCATCTTTAATACATCTGTTTTAGGTTCTAGAAAATTAACTGTACTTCTCAAAGCTTAGTTTTTCACTTTCAAGTGGGGAATTTAGCTTTAAAGTACATAGTCTTTTAGTTTCTTTGGTTTTCTGGTGTCATCATTGCACACTTAGTCATTCCAGGTTGTGTGGCTCTTGCCACTTCTGAACACTGGCCACTCTTCTGGTTTAAAACTATTACTGGAGCAACCTGATTTGGTATTGAGCTACAACTCCTATTGCAACAACTTGCCAACTGATAACACAGGTGTTGAGTGGTACCTGTATTTATTTGAATGTACACTTACATTAACATAAAGAATTTTAGGATCAGAGAACTTCACAATAACAACTGGGAGCATTTTGGTTTGCTTTTCTGAGGGGTGGAGCAGTGGTGTACGTCACTAAGATATCAAGTAAGATGGCTTTAAGTCTAATGCCTAGTTAGATTCTAAATTTTCAGCCTTTTAAGAGTACTGTGACAATTTGTTGCAGCTGAGGGAGGAGGAACATTTCTGTGAAATGGAATCAAGTGGCTCATAAACCACCATAAACCATAGGATGTCAACAATTACTGTAATTAATAGAAGCTTTACACCAAAATATCATAAAGCCTGCAACACCTTTGACTAATGGGCCACTTAACTCTGGTTTAAAGTGTTTTACCGTAACAGCTGAAGTGACAGAACATCTACAGTTAGCCTGAGTGGTGAAGTTAGAAAGAATTTTGTGCAAAACTATCCTGAAGGCAGCAGATGATGTGTCACACATTATTTTAATTCTGAAGATACTTGATAAAAGGTTATCTGGTAAAGAGCATCTCTTCTGAGTGTGAATTCTGACTGGAAAAAGGAGGTATGAGGAAACAGCTGAAATGAAATTAGTAGCGTTTAAGTAATGTGTGGTGCAATTGCTTGCATGCATGCACAGGCCTGCAGTGCCTTTAATTTAATCTCATCCCAAGCACGAGGTCCTACATGTCTGCTTGTCTCATGCAAATTAAAAAAAAATATAGGCAGAATGAAGGATTATAAGAAGGCATACTAAGATACATGTTTCTAATGAATTACCTATCCTTATGTCCCCTTGTATAAACATATAACTCCACATTGTAACATATGTAACACGCCACAGGGAAGGGCATTGTTCTGCTCTAGGTGAGGAACCCCTGCACCTTCTCAGATGTCTATCATTGCCCTGTTTTGTTGAGATGGGTTGCACTGCCCATGGATCTATTCTTGAATCATTCTAGGGGATTTGAAAAGTTTAATATTGTGCTGTTTCTGCAAAGCTGACTTTTATAGCAAAGTTTTTTAAAAGATTCCTATAGTACCTGTTATATAGATAATTGTTGATTTTTAAAGTGAAAAACAAATGCAAACAGTTGAAATACGGCTTAATTTCTGCTGTCTCTTGGATTTTAGTAGTGTGTTTCTGTGAGGTTTTAAGTCATCCTCATGAACACATTGTCACATCCTTACCCTTGGAGAGAGATTAAGTTCTGAAAGGAGATTATAAAATCGTTTCATAAATTGTTTCATAAATTCATTTGTCCTTTAGATTTCTTCCAACTGGTACTTACAGTTCTGATTTAACATAGCTTAAATGTACATCTACTTATTTTAAGTTACCAAGTAGCAGTAACAACTTGGTACCTGAAAAGCACATGAACACAGTGTTTTACTGAACCGCAGAGAAATCTGAGATGCCCTTGAAGGACACGCTTCCTGCTGCCTTTTTAATAAGCAATGTCTCCGTTTATTTCTAGGTGAGTTGTAGCAGCTTTAACGCGACTACACGCAGACCGTCGTTTCATTTTTGCATGAGGAATGTACGATGCTGCGTTTCGGGCAGGCGGTGAGGAGCCGCAGCAGCGGCGGGGAGCGGCGCGGCCGGGGCGGATTTGCGCAGCGCGGCTTCGGCTTCGGTGTCCGGGCGCTCGGGCAGCGCCGGCGCCGCGCCCGGGGCCGCGCGCGGAGCTCCGCCCGGGGCGGGGCGGGGGCGGCCGCGCGCGCCATTGGCTGCGCCGCACGTGACCCGCGGGGCCGCGCCGTGCGCGCGGCGCTGGCACAGCCGGTGGCGCGGGCGGGGCCGGGCGCTGGCGCGGGGATGGAGGCGCGGCGGCCGCGGCCATGGGGTGAGTGCGGCGGCAGCGGCGGCTTCCCGCGCGGGCGAGGATCGCCGCGCCCGGGACGGGCAGGGAGGGGGAGGAAGCGATTTCAAGGGTTAAAGAACAACAACAAAAAAAACCAAGCGCCACCCCCCCCCATCCTCCCGAATACCGGAAAGAAAAAAAAAACAAGAAAACCTGGGGTGCGAGAAAGGGCTGTCGCGCGGCGGGGAGGGGAGCCCCGCAGCCGCGGGGACGGGCGGGCGGGCACGGCGGGGAGCCGCCACGGTCGGGACCGAGCGCAGCCTGCCGCGCCGGCCGGAGGCACAAAGCCCTGCGGAGCCCCTGCGCGGGCTCCGGGGCCGGGAGGAGGAGGAGGAGTGGCGGCGGGCTGGGGTCTCGGGGCGGGCAGAGCCGCGGAGGTGCCCCTCGAGGGGCGGCGAGGCGCTGCCCGCGGGTGGCACCGGCCCGGCTTTGTTAGGGACGGGCGGCGGCGGCGCCTCCGCTGCCGCAGCGCGGGGAACGCGCGGGTGGGCGGCCGGCGGGAACGCTCGGGGGGCAGCGCTGCGCCCTCGGCGCGCCCTGGGATCCGCTGACTTCTCACAGATTTATTTAACATCACAAAGAGGTGCTTGGGTCCGCGACTTAACCTGAATGCTGTGGGAAATCTTAATAAATTATGTATGAAGCAGTGGGTCCTTTCTTCCCCTTTGTCAGATACGCAGCTTTTATGCTAGTAATTAGGTCATTGCTATCAGAGCGCTCCTTGCTTTCGTAAAAATGTGTGGCGATTTTTGGAGGACACATATGCTGCCAGATCATTTCGGCCTATTCGGGTTTCGTGTCAAGATAGCAGTATTCTTCCTGTTGTACATGGAGGACCTTGTTTGTGGGCTGTAAGGGGCATTTTTGGTTTGATAGGATTTTCTTCAGAAGACCAGTAGGGCCCGGTTTTTACTTGATTTGGAGAGTCATACCCTGAAAAATGCCTTTTAATGGCGTAGCAAGAAGCACACAGTTTCGTAGTGCATGGAAGTATTTTCAGTAAATTTCAGCGAATATGTGAATAGCACAGTATAGATCTATTTCTGTTTTTAAGTGCTTCTTCCATCCTTTGCTGTTTGTTTTGTTGAAAATGCTTCTTAATGTTTTTTCCTACTGTCTTTTTACTGTTTGGTTAATTTTTTGTTACCTAATGCAGATAATAGTTTTATGAGTATTTTGCCAAGATTATTGTTCTTTGAAAATGCACATAAGCATGTATACTGAAAGCCATTTCCTGGAACCAGACTCTTCTGTATTTTTAAGGAGACTTGAAGTAACTGTTAAAATGCTCTTCTCCTTCTCAGTTCTGTTAAATACAGTCATGCGCAAAAGAAGGTTTGATGAAGAAAAATCTCAGTTTAAATACCTGTTTTATACATCCCCCAAAACCATTTTATATATATACTATTATTTTTAGAATTATGAGTCTCCTGTCTTATCAGTAAGAGAAGCTTTGGATAATAATTACATTTTAAAACATCACTTGAGGACTTACTCTTTGGAATAACTGGTTTCAAAAGGTAAATTGGTGATACTAGATATTTCTGCTTAGGCATTTTGAATCTGCTTTACAATTGCTTAAATGTTAGAAGAAACAGAAATGCAGAGGTGTTTTCACCCCTTTTTTTTCTGAAAAGAAAGATTATGACAAAAGCACAGTAGTGATGATGACTATTATGATGACTATTACGGTGATGTTTCTTCCTGTACCTTTTTCACTCTTAAATAGTATCATTCTGTGTAACCACTGTGGTAGTTCTGTAAGTCACATTCTGAAAATGGTAAGTTGAATACAAGATCGCTTTTTAGTATAATAAGTTATTTATGAGTGCAGACTTTCCTAAACATCATCCCTGAAATGCAAAATAAATGTTCTGATACATCTTGTCACAGTATGGTGTTGTTATATCAGCATGGAATAATGCAGCACAAGTTGGAAATGCATGTGGCTACAATTGATTCTCTTAATCTCTAAATTCTTACATTGGATTTTAATATGCATCTTAATTTAGTTAGTAAAATGTTTGTTGATGACATACAGTAAATTCATTTATTATCAGTGTGGCAAAATCCTGTTTAAAATAGGTCATACTGCTATGGTGTGCTGTGATGGTAAATTATTGTCAGCAAAGACCTAGTTTCCACTAATGGTTTTCCAAAATTCATGCAGCATCTGTGTGGTCAGGTGCTGATACATTTCCTGCAAAATGAATGTCTTTTGGTCCTTAAAAGTGCTGAAGGGAACCCTGAAGATGGCCCTGATAGGTCACTCGAGATGGAGAAATATTTATTGTAAATTATTTCTGTAATATATAATCAAAATTTTTATAGTATGTATAATGTTTTTAATTACAACTTATTTGTTTCATGTTAATTGTTTTGAGTTTGTGTTTTCAGGTAAAATAGGAAAGGAAATACTTGTCTTAGACTTTTTAATAGCTTAAACTTTCTGGAATTGAATCCTTAAAGATTACAATAAATGTAAAAGTAAACAGGAGCAAGTCATGTGCAGTGAGGGCATACACAATTAGTCGTGAATAACAAAGATGATCATCTTGAAGGGTGAGTGTTCAGGCTTGTGAATCATTCCTGATCCAATGTAAGTTATGATTCATATGATGTCTGGAGTGGTTTGTGTTCAATATAGTATTTAAATGCAAATCATGTTTCAAATTTTCACAGTCATATTCTGAATACAGCGTGACTAACCAGCTAAGGAACTTCCCAACCCAAAATTATAAAGGAAGAAGTGGGAATTTTCTTGACAGTGTAAAGAAGCTGAACTTGACAGTTCATAACCTGAAACATATGACTTCTTGATTTTGCTCTTTTTGTATTAATAAGATTTTCTTTTCATTGTTAGCATTCTTTAGTGAAATTCCAAACATTAAATTATTTCTGTTTTTCACACAAACACACACTTGACCTTTATCATTCTTGACATGTAATGAAGCGCAGAAGAGTTCAGACCATGATGTTCGCATTCCTTCTCCTCAGTCTTCTACGGAATGCTGAGAACATGCATCACTTATCACTTTTGGTTAAGATGAACAGATGATGCTTCTGTTCATGAGTGGTGAGTACAGGCCAGGTATTGAATTTACAGTGGTATCTCAAAATATAATGATAGATTGAAAGCTTTTGCCAAGTTATGAATTAATTTCTGAAAGAATTAAACACAAAAACCAAGTCTTTACCCAGTCCACACTCAAAAGGTACAGTTCAGAAGGTCAAGTATAGTAATCTTTGAATGCTTTAGTCTGCTCTCCACAAAATATAGCCTTCATGCAGAAGTGGATAGAAAACCTAAAAAGAAAATCTTTGTCATGCAACTGAAGTTTAGAGAAAATTGTGTGGTCTTCTTTTAAAGGGACTAACGCTTTCACAGATTGTGTTAGGATAGCTAAAACAGTAACAGCTCTTCATCTGGCCTTTACCTTTTTTTTTACGTAGTTGAAAACCCCAGGAAGCCACAATATGCGTAATCTAGAGATTATAATTTGGTATGATTTGTTCTCAATTTGTTTCAATGTTGTTCTTTTCAAATTTATTAAAATGAGTAGTGTTATATAACTTGCAATTAATTTTCTGTTATCAAAGCCCTTGTTGCTAAAAGAAGATGGATGAAGAGCAGTTTTCTGTGATGATTGGTTTTTTATACTTCTTCTTCCATCTCTGATCACCAAAGGGTGCTGAAGCTAAGCGAATGAGAACATGAAAAGATCTGCTGCCCCATTCATAGGTTATTCTCATTCTGGGCTATTTTCTTAGTTGTCTCTAACCACATTCAAAGCCACATCCAGACAGCTCATTATATTTTTGTGCCCACATTGCCCAGTGAAGAGAACCGAAACAAAATGGCATCCCTTTCTGCTACTTCTGACTTGAAGTTCTGGGGATTGTTCTTAAATTCGGGTGGGGATAGGAAGATCAAATATGCTGGCAACAAAGGCCGTTATAGTAAAGGATGAACTTATCACCAGATGGAAATAACAGTTTTTCAGTGTGATGCTGGAGAAGGCAGAAATATTTTTTCTGCTGTTTGGAGAGAATCAGGATAATGGGGTTTTATGATTTGAGTCCAGTGAAGTATTTTTCAGTGAGTAGGGAAGGAGAAAATTAAACAATGCCAGTGAAGGCTAAACATTTTTGGATTGGCAAACCTTGAAAGCCTGCCCAAACTGAAATGGATGATACGATCTCTGACACAGTGATACTCATTTTTGATAAGTTTTTGAACATAGCTCTTGGAGTGTTTGTATTTTGCCGGAGCTGAAAACCTGAAGGTGAGCTTCAAACAAAATAATGGAAAATTCAATACAGGATTCAGTCAACAGAGAAATTGAGCTAATGCAAATTGACATGGTTTGATATGTTCAAAATAAGAGCAGCAAAACCCCCACACAGTTCTGAGTGTATAGACAAGGAAGCTGCATGAAAGTGGTCCACTTCAGGAGCTCACTTACCTTGGAACAGCTGTGCTGGATCTTTTGCCCCTGCTTGTCAGTCTTTCCCCTCTTTTGGAAATAGCTGTGCAACAGCTGCTGAAGCATCGTGTCTAATGACCTAGCACAGTAAGCTTAAACTGATACCTATTTCAGATTACCTTGGCAGTCGGGCAGTAATCTGCAGTGGTTTAGCAGCTGCCACTTGAGCAGCTGAGCCCTTCACCTCTTCCCTGGGTGGGGACCATGCGGAGATGGGTGGGGCAGACAGCTGGGGAGGCACCGGCACAGCCCTCCCAGCCACCCCACCACTAAGCAGAACCACTGCAAGTCACAACCCCTAGGCCTACTGCTTAAAAATAATCTGTTTTTAAAGATGGTGTAGAGAAATTAATTGGAAAAATGTCATGACAGTATTACCATTTCCTCCCTGAATTCAGTGTAGAGTGCCCTTGAAGAAACGATTCCCAGTTAGACACATTCCCATACATGAATGACAAAAATTGACAGAATGGTAAAGAATAAAAAGTATGAGAT